AAGCTAATTTGTTTGATGTTTAAAACATAAACCAGAGAAGGCACTTATCATCCATGAATCTCAAACCTACAYGAGAAAGCTGGATAACCTGCTAAGCCTCTCCCATCCCTCTACTGAACCACAAGAACTAAAAGCAGGATGTGCAAGTCATATGTTTTCTAAATTAAGACCAACATAGGGTTTTGTAAACAGGAGACAGGCTGGGTGATCTTTGATCTGTAGATACACTTAAAAGCTTCTTAACTTATTTATGAGGAGAAAAGAAGTAAAACCTGTGCATTTACATCACAACCCTGTGTGTTTCCAAGAAAGGCCTAAGGGCAAGTACTTTCATTTCAGCCAGCACATAAAGCTTATTCTTTTGTGGTTTTATTTCCCAAGATTGATTTTGTAAAATGAACCTTTTTGAATTTTAAAGGATGGATTATGGTAGAAATATTTTTAAAGGTCTATTTAAAAGGAAAGACAAAAAGCAACTAGGTATAAACAACCTTGTTATRTGTAGCAATTTTACCTGTAATGGGAGACCACTAAGCAAAGACAAAAATTGGATATTGCTGTGAACCAGCCAACTCCACTGTGCTGCTTCATTACCAGAGGTTAAAAACCCCACAGCAGACCTGAAGAATTAGAGCAAGGAAATCATGTCTACCCTGTCATTTTCAGAACACACCCCAAAATACTTTGAATTCTTACAGGCAATCTGCATTTGAGCTTTGARAATACCTGAAGACATGCAGCAGTACAGAAACAAAACTGTAACTTAAATTCTTCTGTGCTTCAGGAAATACCTTCACAGGTCACATTTGTCTCTCTACAGTATCCCCTTTCATATTTACTTAAACTCTTTTGCTATTCCTTCCCTAGTATTCTTCTCAGGAATCTATTTAGTGGTCCTYTGCCTCTTTTTTATTGCAAATGCTCTTTCAAAAATGCAGCAACTGATAAAAATCTCTCTYCACTGCCCTCTTTTCTCAATGCTTTTTGAGCCTGATTAGGAGTGTCATATGAAAAGGAAGTGAAAAATTRTTGCATAACTGACAAGGATGAGCTTTCTTTTCAAGGCTGTATTTTAACTTAAAAGTCTATCACAGAAGTTTAATTCTCCTAAATTAGTACGTCAGGTCAAACTAAATCCCCCAATCAAAATCTAGAAGAGAAAAAAAAGGTGATTCACACCTGAAGTTGTGTGAAGATCGGTGAAAAAATTCCACTGCTGGGCACTGGAAATATCTTTTGATAACAAACATTATAATTTCTAATATTTTGATTAGAAAACCAAACTGAAGAAAAGTTTACCTCAGCTATAATAAAGACTATTTAGTGACTTGAAGGCATCATATTATCAAATGAAGAGAAGCTGTATGAATCTCCACATTAATGTTAATCCACCCCAGTATCTTCTATAGTGAGAAGGAAGTGTCACTGAACCCTTACCAAATACATGAGTCCACTGACTTCAATTAGTTTGGCACATGGACATGAGCTACAACTTGTTGTTATTTCATTCTGTAAACCTGGAAATAAAATTTGAGTTTTAGAGGATGAGCTTTAGTAAGCCCAATGCTTATTCCCTGATTCTATCCGGTACATATCACCATCACACAGGAATTAACTATGCTCTCACGGACTTTCAAAAAACATGACTATAGAGCACACAGGATCAGGAGAGAAAAGGCCAAGAAGATTTTGGCCTGCATAAACTTTTTGTATGGTGCCTGGTTTAGCTCGAGCTACACATTCAGAAGTATTATCTTATTCCCAAACCAGAGGCRAACACTTCATGTGAATAACAATGAAGAGGAATAACTGGATCCAGAGAAGACAGAACAGATTAACAGCATCAAGAATGAAAAAAAAATTCTCGACATCGACCAGATAGGCAACGCACTTAACACACAGAATTGAAATCTACATTCCAGAATTTAAAGTTTGATTCTAAGCAGTTTCCATTTTTCTTTCAATTATTTTACAATATATCCGTGACTTCTGTACCTGTTTTGYATGGTAGTCTTCCATTAGAAGAATCTGCTTCTGGACATAGTACAGGAATCAGYCCAATATGAATCATTAGAGCAACAAATGCCATTCTCCAGTGGCCTCCCCTGACATTTGATCTGCCCTGCAATCACCAACTCCTGTGGGTAGTTAGAACAGGAATAAGCATCTAGCCAAGTTTAAGGAATTTAGGCATAAGGTTTTGTTTAATTTCAAGATCAATTTCTATGCTTTTCTTCCTCATCAGCTTCCCTATTTTATTTTGTGAAATTTGGATCAATAAGTTGCATGGTATCAATCAGATATGATAAGAGGTCAAGTGCTATTTCCAATGTCTCGGATCAAAGCCCARCACTGGACTGAGAATCATATGGCATGTCTAGATCAATGAAAAGGGATACCATATAAAAGTGATATAGAAAGGCACTAAACTCAGGTAGAGCTGTACTTAGATGCCAGTAAAATTGCAGCTGCATTTCTTAATGTGAGAGCAAATTTATCTGTTTATCAAATTCAAAATACAAGGCTKCTGACAGCAACAGAGGACCTTGTAGAGGCTGCTCCAAGTGACAGAGGCTGTTCCCCACTGTCCTTCAAGCAGTCAGGCTGCATTTTCTTAGCACAAATGCAATTTGGTTCTATCCCCAAAATGGAGTAAGGAATTTGAGTTTCTTCTCTGGAAAATATTAACCCCAAATAAAAAAAACTTCCGGTAGGCCAACAGAACTCTAGAAAAAAAAAAGAAACATCACAAGATTTTAGGAGGTGCTGAAACATTTGTTTTGAAATTTTATTACAAAAATATATTTGCAAACATACAAAACTTTGGATGAAAAAATGCTCATTCTTAAACATTTATGCAATAACTTAATAACTGCAAACATACATAGGTGCTATAAAACCCACACCATACCAAAAACGTTAATGATGCAGTATCTACATTTACTGACTTACAATTAGTCCGGTTTCCAGAAATCTTTCCTGAAGCCCCCCTTCCCCATGGTCTTCATATTGAAAGAACATGCAAATGGCTACAACTGGTGCATACGCAGTAGTGATAAAACTCAGAAATYACTAGAAGCACATAATGTACATAAAAAACCTAACTAACCATATGCCCATACACTGAATAGATAAAAATAAATACACCACCAAATCAGAGATACTGCAATTTTTCCAACTTGAAGTGAAAGGAAGATATTGCATCTTAACATTTTTGCAACATTGCCAGACAAAAATGAGGTGATACATATTGCACACATTCCTCTTGTTAAGATATGCTGTACAAAGCAACCCAAATACCTGGCAAAAAGGTGGCTGATTTRTTTAGAATAGTTCTAAAAGCCAAAAAGTCCCAAATTAAAGTTTGCTTTCCAAAACATTTCAGAAATTCTATCAGTGACTGCACATGGCATAATGGGTTTCAGAAATAAACCAAAATAAAGCAATTAGAAACRCAAGCAAAAATTATACATCCAGCAGCGAGTGTTTAAATATAATATTGAGTATTTATACAGAATTACACATTTTATATTAAATCAGGATGAATCACTTGAACTTTTTTTAATCACTCTTTCTGCAAATCTTGTTTAATTTGGAAAGATATTCTGCTTCTAATGTTAATAGCTGTTAGGCACCTTTCATATAAACTTTGCATTGTTAAATAACAACAGATAAAATCTAACCACAAAACTAAGAATTTTGATTTTCCTGAACAATTCAGCAGCTGTATGTTTTAAAACTGTCTTTGATTAATGAAAAAGTAAAATTCCAAACTCAAATGTAAAGTAACCTAACGTGAGTCACAAAACACATGCTTAGGTAAGAATTRATTTGGGGAGTCTGAACTAACCATCTTTTGATTCCCAAAAAGAATAGATAAAATCCCCATTAAGCCAGTAGTTAAAAAAAAAAATCACTTGAAAATGGTCACAATCATTTCCTGTGATGCCCCATGGCAACTTGTTACACACTAGTCATCCCTACATGTGGATAACACAAATCAAGCACTTCAAGAAGCTGGTAATTTCAAACTTACACAAAAATTAAAAAAAAAAATAGGGAAAAGAAGTTTTTAAATACACATTCCACAATTAAAAAAAAAAATCAAATTTTACACTGTAATTAAGCTGGTGTTTTACAATGAACTTTTAGTTAAAGGAGTTTATCTGTTACAGCCACTCCTCTGGCACTTGTCACACCTCTGCAGTGGGGGATGACACCCAGGATGGCTCTCCTGTCTGTTGGCCACACACAGAAGCTGGAACAAGCACACACAAATGTTCAAGGTGGAAAGTTTGTCGTGGACGCTATGATTTCAACTCTGGTTCTCTGCCAATTCATTCTGAAAGCCTGGGCAGGGAAGTAAACCAACAACCTATTGCTTGCAGGACRCTACAAAACCAAAGTGAAGGATCTGCCAACTGCTTGTTTTCAGCTGTCCAGGAACTCTCACAAGTTAAGGATATTCAAAGTATTATTACTTTTGTATATGGCTGAAGAACTCAAAAGACAATTTCCTATCATTTCTATAGATCTTTGGATATGACTGTATTTAGCAAACAGTACCAATGTACACTATCAGCTTCCAATATTTCTATTCTTACAAACTTTCATAAAATCTTTCTTTGAAGAAACCAGAAGCTGTCCACGAGAAGTGAGAAGTTATGAATTCTGTTTTTGCTAAATCCAGATAAGGGCAACTCTCCATTTGGTTTAGACGGTCCATTTTTGTTTAGAGGAAATGCTCACTGGTTGTCCCTTTTAGTGAAACATTTCCTAAAAAGCCCAACAAAAAATTAGTTTAGACCTTCAATCTAAGTCTCACTGTTTATGTGCATACACAGTACTGTAACTCCAAAATTTATGGAAGAAGGTCCTATCTTCCTTAACAAGGCTGAGTTTATATTGCTGAATTCAAATGCTACCATTAAATCCAATATACTTCTTGATGAATGCACATTACATTAGCATCTTTCCCTGAATCTTGCACATTTTCTAACAACAGAGTACATGTTTTAACTGGAAACACTGAACTCAAAACGCTCAGAAGAGCTTTTCAGAAGGCAGGTAGTGCTAAACAAAATATATCTTCCACTRAAAAGCTAGGAAAAACCTAAAATAGATCAAATACATAAAAATGTAAATATTTGTTGTATCTAAAACATCCTGATTTGTGAACAAGTCACAATTAAAGCTCAATTACTAGTTTCCAATGAAATGGCCATGCACCTTGACTAYGTCAACATTAACTAATCCTTAGGATATCTATACATACATATATGTTGTAAGGAACCAAACAGTATTTTTCTTCATATTTCAATAGTGCTTGAGGAAAAAGAATGAAGCAGTGCATCGTAACTCGCTACAGATTATCTCTTTACTCAATAACCCAACACTTTTCTACTGAAAAAGCATCCTTGAAAACTACTATTGCTGGAGATGGTTGGGACCTGAAGTCAGATTAAGCTATTACCTTTGCATGCCTTTAAGAAATAAATACAATCCTTGGGTAAACCAACACAGCAGCATAAGTATAATTAAAAATCTTCAGATTTCAAATGGGAAAGTATCCAGGTAAATTCTTAGTGAATAGTGACGTTATAAATCACATATAGAAAGCAGTAACATTTTTGTTAGATAAAATTCAGATTATGAAGTGTGCACTAATTTGGGGAGAGGGCAACAGAAGAAAAGCATGCATTTGTTTCCCATCTGCATAGTTTTCAACACTGCAATTCCAAAACAACGGGGGAATGAAAGCCAACYATGATGTGGTCCTTAAGCTAAAAGGGAACAAAATATTTAAATTTTATCAAACACTGCTGAACAGGATAATGGTCTTTCAGTGGTGGTCTCCTAACTATAAATTTAAAATGAGAACTTCAACATGCAATAACTTTGTTGCTTAAAAAAAATACAATACTGAGAGGATTTTGCATATTTCAAATTTGCCTTTTTAGAGAAAATGGCCTTACTCACTTGGATAAGTGTTTTAGGTCAGTAAGGCAGAAACAAATAAAATTAATGAAATACTGAAAGAATGAATTTACATGCATTAGCTAGAGACTGTCAATACATAGAGCAAATCACATTTTTAGACCTTTTGTCAAAGATATAGCTCCAATGGCCTGGCTYCCAGACCCTTTCCTTCCTCATACCTGCCAGCTTAATCACAAGGCATTTTGCTCTCATTTTCCTTAGTCCTTCAAACTGGCACTAGGTTTCCACAACTGAATTTTGTTCTGGTGTGCTGTAGTGTACTATACTGTGCATTTGCTGGTTGAAATAGTTTTGAGTCTGTAATCCTTGAACAATGAATACAGCTAGGAATGAGAGCCAGAGCAAACATTTGCACATTCATTAATGCTAATGAGAGCTCAAATGCAACTTAAGTATCCTCCACAATAAAAAAAAGGTTTGCTGGTGATGATCACAGTGAAAACATTGATCAGTGATCACTTCTGAGAACATTACTTTCATAAGTATTTAAGGAATAATCTTTCCTAACAGGTTCAAATTCAAGACATTGAAAACTAAATATTCTTTACAAAAATATTAGTTTTATAGATGAGGCATTATGTTTCTAAAGTAGATTCAGCTTCAATTATAGCTTAATATTGTCTGTACTCTTGGTTAGGACTTGCAAGTAGACTTCATGGATAGTGCTGAGAAAACGGGAATCGTTCTGCAGGATAAAAAGAAACACATTAGTAAAAAGATGCAAAAAAAAGTTTTAATTTTATGCCACTTAAGTTGTGATAAGAATTCCTTCCAGTGCCAGCTGTTTAGGGAATGAGTTGTGTACCTGCACAAAAGATGCTTTTGAAACACACATGGGCGGTGAACCATGAAGCTGGTCAGGAGCGAAGGGGATCACCAGGTACTCTGGGTGCTCAAACAAATGGGTCACTACATCAGCCCRGCCACATTTTGCTTCCCTCCAGAATCCAAACCATAGTCTTAGGCACAAAGAACCCCATCCTGTGTACAGGCTCCCAAATCAAGGCTGCCTGAGTATCAGATGTGCAATTATTTGTCAGGCAGACCAGCCTGAATGAGACTGAAGTGTACTCTACAAGAATTCTCATGTCAAACCATGACTGGGAATTAATTGGCTCAATTTATGGACAATAATTAGAGATATTTCTTGAGTCAAATTCCTTCAAATGACAAGTTTACAAAACTGGCATCTAATCAGTTATCTTGAGGGTGTAATATTGTCTTTACCTACTGCCATGCTGCAGCATATGCCTATTTTGCTCTTCATTCAGCTCTCTCTGTAAAGACTGGAGACAAATATCCCTGTCAGCTCTCTAAAATCACCTCTCAGAATACTGGCAGGTGAGCTCAGTTCCAAGATTAGTTTAAGTCTTTAATTAGAAAACCCATACACACCAGTAGAAGAAAAGATTATGTAAAATGGAAGAGATAAATWAGGCAATCTAACAACAGGATCTGATAATGATCTCTTTGGTTTAACAACTTGGTCACTGGGAAGATATTGTTTGTTATTTCTAGACTTGCATTTTGGGTATATAAGCTCTAATAACACCTGCAAGGAATGAGCATGAGAATCCTGAGCTAAGAAAGAACKGTTTGTCATTCATGGCAACTTCACTGTGACATTAGAGGTCAAAATAATCTCAATGCACAGCTGCTCCCAGCACCACAGATTTGATTCAACTGAACTTTTTAGTCCCTAGAAATAGCAGAGCTAAAACTTTGCAATTTCCATTTCAAAGAAACATACTAAAAGTAAAGATGAAGAAAGGTTCTAGGGAACTAAAAACAGGAAAGCTTTCCTTTGGGGAAGTGGAACACTCACAAAGACAGCAAAATCAATGCCCCTCCATACCAATGTCTACTAGTGCAAGTTACTCCTCACTTGCCTACAAATTCATATGGATGTGAAAGGACACATCCCAGGCACTCTGCTCTTGTAAGCCCTCCACATCTCAACCAAAAGGAGCAAGCTGTGCCATACTCTGTGTACAGTGTAGAGTAATCTGCCCCTTGCAACAGAAAAGAACATCTTTTGTAATCTTTCAGGGCAAAAGGAGTTACAGGGGTACAGAATTTATCAGTGCTGCCTTCTGTGCTTGGAACCCCATCCCTCAGAAACTGAGCTCTGTATAGACAGTACCTTTATTAGATGTATCAGTGCTTCTTGAAGCTGAGACCTACTGAGAACAGTAGGAGGTGTAGTCTGAATTTCTGTTGTTCCAAGTGTTAAAGGCGAAGAAGAACTGACTTTATTCTCTACTTCAGTAGCTTTTGTAGTTGATTGCTGAAACACACTTGGAGACAAGAGCACTGAAGGCGTTACTGTCGTTGTGGCTGTAACAAACTGTGGAGGTGCAACCTGTAGAAGAACAGAAAATTAATAAGCACTGTGTTCAGTAAGAATGGATGATGCTGCAAAGGCTGGAGAGATGAGCATTAAGAAAATGAAATAAATTGTTCCAATTATTCAATCAGATATTACAGAACAGCTGCTCTTAATGAAGAAATATCTACCCATAAAGATTAGTATTAATAGTACTTCTCCCTCCGAAGCTTTCTAAAGTTAATGCGTGTATAATAACATCAACATCGGCAGAACCAGCAAATAGATTTTTTGTAGYCAAAACTGTGAAGACTCACAGCGTGGGATTTCAGCTGAAGACAATATTTAAACCAACAGTTTACTGTACAACAYGCATATGTTTCTTAAAATTCCCAAATCCTTGTAAAATGCTCTCAATTAGGTAATTATTTACTAACTGGGCCATGATCAGACTGTAGAGCTWATCTTATAGCAGCCCAGTAGCTAAACTAGCACTTTAAGTAGAGCCTTTTTTAATTGCCTTTATAATCAGATCTGGGCATGCTACTAAAATTGCTTTCATGGAGAGCAAGTTTGACAAGAATGAGGTAAGAAATCTGAAAAAGGAGTGGGTGTATAAGAGGAAAGTAGAAYTAAAATACAGATGGTGTACTAAAATGAATACATAACAAAAASGTAATTAAAACCAATTCTTAAACACTTGACTATTACCAGTTACTTTGTAACTGTAACCAGAAACTTAAAATTGACATTACTTTAAACTGTTACCCAAGGCAGTTCTAAGAATCTTATATATTTTTACATCACTAAACCGTGTTATTACAAGTTTTACAGTAACAAACGCTTATTACTCTTTGTTTCCTCCATCTTCAATTTTTTCTGCTTTGTATCTTTTCATAAAATACAAGGTATCTCAGGAAAACTGAGAGACAGTAAGGCGAAGATTTCATTGTAAGCCTCTGGGATGCTTAAGGTTGGGCAAAGGCTAATAGACCCTATGACAATATCATGGAATTAGTATGGCTTGCTTGCAACATAAAAAAACCTCAGCTCAAATGATGCAAACTCAGTGCAGGGCTGCAAATCCAAAAATGTGTTCTCATTTCTTCATCAGAGCCAACAATAAGAGGGACTGTTYAAGAACAGTCTTCCGGTACAGCTTTACTTCCTAACAGCTCCTTAATTGTGGTCAGTGGGCAGGGACTATTTGAGATATCACCTGTGTACCACAGCTGTTTTTTCCCCTTTTCTAAGAAAACCAAGGAACAACTAGCAGAGGTACTTATCCACTTACTTGACTTCCTTTAGACAAAGTTTTCGGCTGTGGAAATACTTCCGATTCCTTGTTTTGTTGTACAGTCTGAGTTAAAAAAAAAAAAGGCAAAATTCACAAGTTACCATCCACAGCTCTATTTCCAGTGGTGGTTCTMTGTTTTTAAAAAAGCTACAAAAATGTGAATCTTAACAGATTTTAGATGTAATTAATTCAATATTATAAAATGGATAYAATCAATGGGAAGCTGGAAAAAAGGGGGAAAATCTGAATTTATATTTTATGTTTTCAGTATTAYGCAAAATTATAAAGCCRTATCTCAGTGTAACCCACAGGTAYTCCCATCAGAAGGGGGTCAAAATTRAAGGAGTACAAAACACTCCAAGTAAAATAATCAGAAAAAGGAAATTGTTAGTTCTATAGTTTCAAATAAGAGACAGGCTAGACTTCCACCACAGCAACTCTCATCACATTGCTCAGCCTGTTAACCCCCACCCTGATCCCTTCTCAGATCATCAGCTCTGAGCGGTACYTTTCTGACACAGGTGAATTCTTTAGGTCTGTCACCGACAGCAGATGCTAATGATWTAAAACTAATGGAATTGGATTTCAAACTTAGTCATTCAATCAATAACGCACACAGTGGAAGCCCTTCATTATCTTCCAATGGCTAATATATAACAGCACGTTTTCCAAAGGAAAAATACATGAAGTTTAAACACAGTCTAAAGCTTCATGGATATCAAAGCCCACAGAATACCTGGAGGGGAGAGATAATCTTGCTGTTCACAGCTGACGGCTTACTGTGWGATTCTTTGAAGCTCTCTGGTGTTGCAAGTTGGCCAACTGAAGCAGAGATGTTTGGTGTTAAGGGAGTCTTAGGGAGAGACTGCTGTTGTGTTTGGTCATGCTGTGGGGTCAACCTGAGTTTCTGGAGAAGATCAACACTTGTATGAGATGTATTTGAGACAGTCCCCGTGTTTGCTGYTGTCAAGGGTGCTATGAGCTGGCTTTGGCCAGCCATTAGATTCTGTGGAGCGTGGTTCACTTCAGATGGCGGCTGATTCACCAGTGGGGATATGGGCTTGGCAGCTTGCTGCATAACTTGCATTATACTGTTGCTTTGTTTGAGGCCAGGAAGCATCTGAGCAGGGGCAGCTTCCATTGTAGAGGCTGAATTAAGAACAGGGCTTAAACGAACTGAATAGCTTGAAACATTTTTCATATCAGGCTGGGAAACTGAAGCTGGAGGTATTATTATAGGTGTTAAACAGTCCTGCTGATTGGCACTGGTTTTAACGCTCGGACTTTCAGATTTCCCCAGGGATTGTTGCATTACTGGTGACTGGTCAAAGGAAAAAGGCAAAAGCAAACTGTGCTGCTCTCTGGCAGATGTGTCTGTCTGCAGCTTCTCCATTCTCTCGGGATTGGGATATGGAGCTGCAGGCTGTTCCTTTTGTACAGAGGTGCCAAACAGTTCCTCCAAAGTCAGATGCTTCTGCCTTGACTGAAATGGCTAAAAAGAAGGGAGAAGGAAGTTTTCAGTTTAGAGCTATACACAGCACTGTGCAGGTCACACAGTCTATTACAAATTCAAGGAAACTATGAGAGACAACTWGGTCGAATGCATATAAAATACAGTTTGGTATCAAGTGTGCCCTATTTACAGGAATTTTGAAATTCATTTGATTTATGAGGAACATCCTGGCCATGTATGGTGTTTCTTTATAGCCTTCTCAGGACAGTCTGTGCACTTGTAATCGGGAAGGGGGAAGGCTATGGATTCTGTCAGAAACAAAACACTTGCCATCATCCACCAGCCCTAACTACACAAGGCACTTTGGGGAAGTGRAGGGGAAAATACACCTGTTTAACAGTATTTACGAAGTTGGAAATAATTAAATGGCCTTAGGATGGGAAAGGAACATAGAAAACAGAAGTTGCACAACTGAACTGGCAATACACACCTAGACAATTTTCCTCGCCTTTTTCATTAACAATGCAGTAGATGTTACAATAGGTAAGAGACTTTCTATAAACCTAAACACATATATATTCATCTCCTTGAAAAGTGTGCACATGTACACAGTTACATGTACCAGTCCTTTAATCTCTCCCAAACATACACATCTAGCCTACATTGTTAAAACATTGTAACGTTAAATGTTAAAAYATTTACATTGTTAAAACACRATTTTAAAGAGATCATCTTCTTAATATTTTTTTCCTGAAAATATTTTAAAATGTGTTTTACTAAAGAGAAAATAAACAGCTGTTAACACCAGCAATCTGAAAATTTTCCTTCTTCTTTTTTTTTTGAGGTTGCACAGGACCAGAAGTTACATAAAACAGCTGGACTGAAATACAACATTCTGTTCAGAAGACTGAATGGCCTGCAGCACAATTCCAGTGTATTCTGATGGTATGTCTAAACAAAGATGCTACTTCACAATGACAACTACTGTACCATGACATTGCTCTGCTGGCTCTGATTTCCCTAACACAGAGGACAGCAGCCAAGGCACAGCARTACAGGTGCCACACAAATAGCCCAACAAAAAACCCTTGAGCTTGAAGTCACACTGTCTTTGCCCAGGTTACTCATCTCCACTGTCACTGCTACTCAGTTTTATCTAGTTAAAGTCTGGTATCCTTTCCTTGTGGGGCTGGGATATTCTACAGTTTATAAACCTTGTTAATTATGCTAGGAATCTTTTCCTAGAAAGATGTTCTTACTTTTTTCCATTCACCTTTACTGTTCTGGAGACCTGTCCTTCAACCATAAAGATTCCATTAAGAAAAAAATCACTGTTCCAGATAATTTCAAACTCAGCTGCTCACTTCAGTATGATTAATTGACTAGCTTTCCTTTATTAATACATTACAACAGTCAAATAATAAACTGAAATCTCTACCATGCTCATTCCAAGTCAGACTGGATAGTCTCAAACATTGAGTTAGTTTCCAGCATRAAGTATAAAACACCTCTTTTGCCTTGTCTATCTCTGGTTGAGGTGTACTTTGAGGACATCATCAACCCAGTGTGTTTATGAAGACCTTTATCACAGGGGCTGCAAAAAGGCCACAAGATCACTGTATTTCATAGGAATAGAGTGCTGCTGCTGCTGCTCAAAGGATTTCTCAAGAAATTATTTCAGGTAATTTAAACTTTATAGTCCCAGCTCTGTTAATTCATGATTTAGTATCAGTGTTCTGGTTCACCTTTGCTGACTGCTGGCACAAAAGYATTTCATGATACAACTCATTTTAATTTTGAATTGTCAAGATACAGCACTTAACTACACCATATCATAGAGAAGACATTTATTTTTATTCCCAAATGTGTGGTATCTTTAGCATGAAATGAGGTTAATCAACATGCAAGTGTGACATTTTGGAGGGAATTAAGGGATCTCACACTTACCRTATGCACACTATTTTTTGATTTCACTGGTAATTTGTTTTAATTAGATCAAAAATRTATTTTTATAGTTAAAATGGAATGKTTTCCCAGTAGTCTCTCAGTTGCCCATGTTACTAAAAATGTTGCTCACAATCAACACATTTGAGATATATTTGAACCCAGTTAACCAGCTTTACAGAATTATCACTTCTATTACTCAATTGATTTTTTCCAATATCTCTGCAGATATTATTTTAAATAGGTTAACAAAATTAAAAATGTGACACTTTAGGTGTTCTATAAATCAACTTTCTGTTTAATTACTTCAGAGCAATTTGTTAGAACCTTATCTTTCCCATTTTTCCTTTACTTGTTATTTGATTCCTGTTCTGCAATTCCATGCACTGCCAGGTGGAACATTTCAGCTGATTTTATACAATCTACATGGAATGACCCAAAGAAAAYATGTGCTTTGAAAGCAAAGTCTTAGGCAACCGTGGTGCCAGGTCTCCAGACCAGGMATGCAGCAAGCAGAGCTGGCTGCCAGGGCTCACTCCATCGGTGACCCAAAAGCATAGGTGCTGCTGAGGGGCTGTGATAGCAAATAATCCCAGCAAACTCCCCACCCCTCATTTTAATTMATTAACTGTTACTACCCCACCCCTACACCAGATACCTGCTACCCAGTCCCAGCCCAAACTTCAACTACAAACTACTACTGCTCCTCCAAACTAAGTATTTTGTTTACAAGTACTGAGTCCAAGGTTGCCCACATTTTCCTAGGGGATTTTATTTCTCACAAGGTGATTTATTGTATCAGAAATACCTCAGTGAACCACGGCAGGGAGAGGAGTTTTCCGTGGGGCATTTCCGAGGAGCACCAGCACTGCCCACCCCGTGCCCACTGGGTGGCACTGCAAGCAGGCCCATGGCACTTAAGTGACACAGAGAATCCAGTTACTGCACAATTTACCTACTGCTTTTTCTAAACCTATCTCTAAATCTTGTAGGAAGCCACAGCTTCCTTGCACAGGAACACAGCYGTAGGTTTGAAGGCAGCACAGACAAACCTTCAGTAAATATCTGYGACACAAGATCAGGGTTTGAGCTCCTGAGTGAAAGACTGATCACWGGGGCATGGTCATCTTTCCTTGTTTCCTGTCCCTCCAAGTCATCCCACACATTACCACCAACTGACTTCTTCTAGAAGCCAGGTTGGCCCATTTAAGCATACTTGGATATTCACAGCAGAGTGGATATAGCCTCTTATTTTTAAAACGCTATGTCAAAAGATAGAATTTAGGAGCCTAAAAGTTTTCAAACTCTTAAGTTTATAGAAAGTGATAATATATTGAGCAGACAACACTGAAGGCATCCTAAGGAAAAGTACCAAAACAGAGTATTAAATAAAAAAACTCCTTCATTTAGGGTTGGATGAAACATACCTGCTCTTGCACTTGTAATGAAGGCTTTTGTTCTGAAGGCTCTGTGCTTTCTGGCTTTGGAGGATTTGAATTTTGTTGCATTCCAGAACTTGATATAATACTTAGGTCACTAATCTGATTCTGGGGGGGGGGAAAAATTAATATAAATACATGAGTTTTAGTTCTACATTTACCCACTATACAGTCCTGTTTACATGGCACTTGGACTGAAACATAGATCATGTACAAGCACTGATTTTTGTAAGACATTGTGGAATTCACAAATCTTAGGAAATAAAAACCATACCAAGACATCCAGAACCTGGTATGCAGTCATAAAGCTTTTACTCTTTCTTATTATCAGAAAACCAAAACATAACTGGCTTTATAATTTTTCACCATTAATTATATTACATTATAATACTAAATTATATTAAAGGAAAGATGGGCTTTTCATATTSTGTATCTGCATTGGCTGCTAACAGAGAGGTTTGTTACACTTCATTAAATCAGGAACCCAAACTAAAACTGCTTAGAAAAAAAAATCCTGACAGAAATCACACTAAGTGGTTGTAAAGAGACCTTGTCACTGATTTATTTCCACCARATTTAACCAAACATGTACATTTATTCTCAGGTGTTGGTTTGGTTTTYTGTGAACAAGAAAAAGCCAGGCAAGAGAGTTGCATTGTAACACAGTATGTTTACAGATGGACTTTCATCCTTAATATCTTWAATAAAAACAAACAAATGCAGATATTGTATTACGTTAAAATCACCAGTGAAAGAACTCAGACTAGAGAATAATTCAGCTTTCAATGTGTAACCTATATTTTTGCATATGATAAAGCTCAACCATTGGCACAACATATGATGATTGCCCTGGTGTCACCAAAGCAGTAAAATATGGGTTAAACTTTTTAGCAACAGATTAAAACCCAATCTGAGCTTTATTCKTTTGTTTTCAAATTCTAATTGAAAGCAATAAACACAAAATCAAGCCTATATATTGTGATTTCAAGACAGGGGAGAGAAGTAGACTCTCCYGTCTTTCTGACTTTTAGTCACTAACTTGAAGGTCAAAACTCTTTGTGCCTGAAATGCTGGAGGCCTTTTAGTTATAAAATCAGGAAAGGCAGTTTTCTTTTCACTAGAGGATAAGCTGCAGTATGTYTCCCTGCTCATACTGAAATACACACACAAAACCACACTATAAAAAGCATCCATTCACTTCATTTAAAAAAAAAACAACCTCAGAGTTCATTCATTTTCACATATGGGTTTGATGTAGTGTGTACTTGAAGGATTAARCTGATTTGGAATCCTAGATTAAATCACTCAGACCTTCATAAATCTCTTTTTCACTCCCTCTGCCCCCTTCTCATGCTGACACTCTGCCAATCTCATGTGGGCTGCACACAAGGATTACTGTATGATCCATCTGGAATGTACCAGGCAGATAAGTACTTTCTGCTCCTAAATACAAATTGATGTATCAYTACAAAGTGTCATAAAATTATTCAAAAAAAATTAAGACAGGCAAGATCTCTCAGGAAGCCATCTTCCAAACAAGTTGGTTACTTCATCACATTAGCATTGGCCTTGGCTACAAGGAGTTCCAAAATTAATGTGCCAGGGGTTTGTTGCTAAAGCTGAGGTGGTCAAATGAACATTGTCCAAAGGACTTTTCTTGAAACGCGACCAACATGGGTCAATTCTGCTTTTCTGACAACTGTATACAATTACAATCACAGCAGGCTCTRATGGGATCACCACCAACAGGTTCATTTACAGTCCATGTACACACAAAAAGGAAATGAAATAATTATTCCAGTTTTACTGGTGTTCTCACAGTATCAAGAAACAAACAAACAAACATACACAAACAAGAAATTAAGATACAAACCCCCCAATTTTAAAGTAGTTCTGCTGCAGCCCRTGCCCTGCCTATTTCCCTGCTGTATTACTGGCATTACAGATATTGACTGTCCACTAAAATATTTGCATACCAGTTCCTGTTAATTATAATTTTACTTGCCTACAGARCTTCATTGTTTAGGAAGAGCTTTTTGCCTACAGAGCTTCCATGATGTTTAGGAACTTTGTTTCTAGCAAAAGCTTTTCAGTACTCTCACATGGAAAAGAYCTGAAAATTAGAAGAGAAACTGGAATATCCCAAGTAATTTGATGAGCCCTCTGTTGGAAATGTGTATTATCCAATACTGCAAGGAYGGAGGGAAGAAAGGCTTTATCACACCCAGAAGGGCACTATCGAAACAATCCATTCTTGTGGTGAGGGATTTTTCTCTTCATTCAAAAAAGACTTCAATTTCTTCAAAACTGTCTAAATTGATGTACCACTGAAAGACAAATCACGCAGGTTTTGATGTTTCCATTTGTGATCTCATAAAAGCTGCTACTTCCACAATGCTGGCCTTCATACAGACAGACACCTTCTCCCCAAATAGCACTGATACACAAACAGAACTTTTTCTTAATCTGTATTTTGAAGCATTGAAAGAACATACAACTGATTTCCAGAAATTAGTACCTAGCCTGAGTAAAAGATACTGTATTGTTTGTCACGTTGACCTGACCTCACTGTACATCASAAAGTGACAGTTAAATTGGCTCATRTGAGGTTTAATCCACATGCTTACTCTTTTCTCCTCACATTGTACTGTAACCATCTAGAATCCCACAAATACTCAAATCCCAAGTACTCAAAGAAACTCTATGGCACAAGCAAATCCTGGAAGGCATCAAGCACTGTACCAATGTGCTCACTCTTCTCCCACCAGCACAGCCACAGAAGCCACACCACGACTCTGCAATGCAATACTCACACATTGCTTTACTATGGCACATTCCTGTATTATTAAATTGGGGAAGAGGCGTGTTCAGAATCTTTGTTTCCGTTTTTGGATCTCCCACACATTACCTTTATATTCATCCTGCACGTATGAATTTGGTCCTCATGACTATATAAAGTAATTCTTTCCTAAGAGAACTAACATTCCTCATTATGTAATCTTGTGAATTTGGCACTGGCAAAGGATAACAGACTTTTCCTTCTGTGATGAATTAATTTATTACAAGGAGAAACAGTAGACAGGACAGAAGTAACAAACTGGGGAACAGAATTGTTACATTTAGTCTACAGCTATTGAGAAATATACTTCATAGAGTCTACAAATGTACTGAATGACTCAGTCTCTAATACCACAAGACATCTTTTGAGACTAAGAAGAGACAGATGCTGTTGGGCACAATTTTTATTTGCWACTCCCAGAGACAGAATTTTCTCACAGCAGGAGAAAATCATTGTAAAATGGGTCTACCCTGCCACACTTCAAGCTGGACCACATGATCAGGATTCAATCCATCTTGCCTGAAATCAGAGAATGTTTTCTAGCACAGTGCTCCAGAGGGAGGGAACAATACATCAGTCTGAAAACAAGGCTGCTGGAACTATTGCRGAGACTGCCCACCCTTTAGAAAAAGAACAGCTGCTGTGCTAAAAACTCAGCTCMAGAAAAGAGACATTTACTTACTCGTTCATATTCATCCTTTGCTTTACTAAGCATTTCCAGGATGTCAATGGGCCTGTTTTCATTGCAGCCATTGGTCCTGCTGGGACTCTTTCTGTCCTGGGAAACTTGCTGAGACCTCTGAGCTTCTTGTTCAACCACTCTGTAACAGGAAAGGAGAAACAGAATTTAAAACTTAACTAGAGTTAATATCTTGCAAAAAACAGTAAAGAAAAATGTACTCYCAGCACATTAACCCATTCTTCTGCCTGAATAAAAGCCTAACACATAGCTGACAAAGTTACACAAGTTTTCATTTGCTACAAGGTTTATACAAGTCAAATTGTCAAATGGTCTGTACAATTTATCTCCCATTCACAGAGCACTGGTCTGTCTCTCATGAAGTTTGCCTACAGTAAACATTACTTCTGTAAAACTCATGTTTAGACATTTTTACAATTAAATATATGGACACCCAAGCATGTAATACACAAAAAGCACACCTATTATACCATAGACTAAAATACATTTTTTACTCTTAACTTCTTAACATGCACTTTTCCATATTTAGCCAAGTCAAGCCACGTCATTCAACAAAATTTATTATCAAACAGTTGTAGTTTAGGATGAGGCCTCCCTTTATGCAGCAGAGACAGTGGGAAAGAAGAGAGCTGGCTCACACCAAATGTCTCTGGAGTCATCCACAAGAGGACTCAGAAAGTTACCCCTCATACCCTCACCTAAGGCTCCAGCAAAAAGAGCAAACTATTTCCTTCTCAAGCTGCCCTGTAGTCATTCCAATTACCTGCATTTCTTCTGGCCTCTGGTGGTTCATTCACCACTTCTACTCTATCCCTGCATGCCTCAGTACCCAAAACCTTTCATTTGAAGGACAGGTAAGAGATGCAAGAAGATGATGTGTACCTGGTACATTTCATTAATAAAAGTAAAAGCAGCATATACTCCTAATCCATATGCAGTTCACAAGATATACATGGCTGTGCAATGCGCTAAAGCTTATCCTCTTGAAATAAACACACATCAGCCTGTAATCCCTTCCTTTTTAAGCCACCATTAATCAAATATGTTAAGAAAAAACAAGCACTGTAAACAGGGCAAAGCTAGGGAGCTGGCATGTCACTTGAGAACTCTCATGCTGTGGAACTGATGGCTGAGGGCGGGGCCAAGAGGTGCCATCACAACAATCACAGAAAGTGTCAATCATTCCAGCCTCCAGTTTCTTTGGGTCAGTTAGGATTCAGAACAAACATGAGATTTTGTAGACYGTAATTATTTATATGCACCTCTATACTGACATTTCTGAGGAAAARACTAGTTCAAGTTTTGGAAGTTTCTTCCCAGTTTTCTAATAACCAAGCTTCTTCACCTCACTAGAGTTTTAGTTGTGTTTAGTTGGAAAGGGGTTAGATTTGGCTTTTAACAGTTCAATGTTGCTTTCAGAATTTTCAGTCATGTAAGTGGTAATTTAACCAGTGGTAATTTATTTCCAGCCTTCTCTGTAAGCAGCAGTCACCTGCAAAGGTAACTCACAATAGGGAAGCCAATGTAACCCTGACAATTTCCAAGAACTGCAGCAGGTGCTCGTTTGGATGAAGCAGCTCAATACTCCACAAGTTTCTATGGTGACACCCTGAGAGAACATTTTGTTCTAGCACCTTGAATGGTCACCCAGTTCTGGCTTAGGAGTTATCTAAACCCAGCTCCAAAACTAATGATGAGAAAGAGCAAGGTAAGAGAATCAAAATACTTTGCTGAGATTTTAAGTGCCAGCATAATTGTATAAGAAAAAAACACTTCAGTTAAAGGAAAGATTCTGGGCAACTGAAGTCATGCATGTGCTGCCTGGCAGGCAAAGCAAAGGCTTCACTCTTGAGACCCTGCTTCTGCTGGGTCTCAATAATTAATTAGCTGGCCCAGAAAGTTTCAATAAAACATCCTCCAATGAAAATAGTACTCATTGATCTCCATAGCAAAACACGTGCAAGAAGTGCATCCCTTTCACAGAAATGTTTCACAAGAATTTCTGAAAAAGTCAGTATTTTTCTCTTGTTCATTATGAAGTGTTTGTTACCTTTTTAAAGTTTACTTTCTTTTTGAAGAATAACAAATTATCATCTCATCTAGGTTATTGTCTAACAGCTCAAACTCCATGTTCTTTGTTGTGCAGGTTACATTTAGATGGTGCAGATAGAATAAAATGTGAAACTGTATCCCCAGAACTCTGAGATAC